GATGGCCTTATATTACAGCAGAATTGCAGCCAACAAGCTTTAATAGCTCCGAAGAAATTTAGATGCGGCCCAGATACGACCCCCTTCTCCTGACTTTTTGCTACCATACATAAAATTATAAGAAAATCCACAGTTGACAAAATAACACCAAATTTTGCACTGATATAGCGGAGCATCTCAAAAGTACAGATAAATCATATGAGCCCGTAAAAACATTACAAAAAGATTTAGAATTTTATGATGGTCACAGCTGTTAAAGACATTCGCTTTTGTCGAGTGTGTGAGACTTCACCAAGGTTTCAGAAACAAGATTTCTAGGGCAATCGGTACATTTAGCATTTTTATCAAATAATACAGGACCAGATTTTTTGATTTGATCGAGAAATCCGGCAAAAACTTTGTTTTCGAAAATCTCTTGTTTTTCTCCTAGTTTAACTATTTTCACGCGGTTTTTTCGTGCATTCTATAGATCTTGCTTCTGTTTATAATGCTGACAACCACCTAGCCTTTATCTCTTACATCATTGTGTAATTTTTTGCGAAAAATCGTAAAAAGTGCGTTTTTCTTTACCTTCTTCTGTTTAAGTGCTTTCGCGTCGATTTTTTCCATCTTGGGCGATTCTTGCTCAGAACAATAGGCGCAACAATCCAGACAATGTCCCAGGAAACAGCAACGTCAATGCGGGGGTAAAAATTTAAAGGACTCATCAGAAATCAAAACCCCGTGTTGCGAATTCCTGGTCCTGAAGCGAAAATTTGCACTTTGAAAAGCCGCCAAATGAAAGATTTCAAGCGTCATTTCAGCGTTTTTACCCCGTTTTCAGCAGTTTCTTTTGCTTTTTATATCTGTTTTATGTCATTTTCTTTTCTCTGATCATCTTTAAACAACCTTCACTATTTATGACGTCAGATGTTCAAACAACCTTCACTTTTGACGCCCTTTTTCTGGACTATCGAAGGTATGTCTCCGACCTATCCCTCCTACGCCGCGCCTCATAATACTACACCTTGTTCGTTTGGTATTGCAAAGCTGCATGCTGAAAAGATATAGAGTTTTTAAGTTAGCAAAACGAATGAAGTAACGGATACTGATATAAGCTAGGGTCCGGCAAAAGCTGAAGATTTTTTTGAAGATTCGCTGTAAAATGCTAAAATGCGTTTTTCTGCATTCATGTTTGATTGCGAAAAACCGGAAAAACCGTTTAATATAGAAAATCTCGCCTCCCACATTATTGTTACTGTTTCAAGGAACTGTAAATCTATCGCACCTTGCATGCTGAATGATAAACCTATCGCGCACTTTGCATGCTGAATGACGGCTTACATAATCACTTACATAGTACGGCTTACATACTCGTTTTGATCTGGTTCCCAACATCAAAGCGGGTTTGCTCAAGCATGTTTCAATTATGAGAAAAAGTTCAGCATGTCCTCGACATAACATCAGTTTTAGGACTTACGTTCTGCGGTATGTATACATACCTATGTCCTGAAAAAACGTTTTCACATGCACAAGTGAATGGTCAAAAGTCGAAGTAGTCAACCCAAACAAGCTGCATACCATTAGATGCAGCATATTAGAACGTTGGTTCTGGGCTCCTTGCTTATTTGATTGAACCCTCTGTGGATGAAGGTTTAAGCCACTATAAGCCATTAGATTGCTAAACAATTGTGCCTGTAAGGTGCAAATTTGGCAGTAAAGAGCTATTCGCCTAGGAGCCTTGACGCTGAGCCAAAAAAGCAGCTAGTTTACTCCGAGCACATATTTTGAGGCGGAAGACAGATTTGGAGTTAGCCAATGTATGCAGCTTGTTTATATTGGTCATTTCGAGTTCTGAATCCTCTTGTTTGCAGATTTTGTGCACTACATGTCGGGAGTAGCGGATAAAATAGGCCAAGTTTGATAAAAAGTTCAAATACCATTACAAATATTAGGTTGTCCCGGAAGTGTTGTCGGTTTCTTTCATCGTTCACCAAAACTCACAGATCACCAATCTATGGACGATCTAAATACCATTTGAGTCCGATTTTTATCCTCTTTCTCGTAACGGTCTCGAAAATTTCAAAAAGCTGGTTTTTCAACGCAGATCAAACTTAGATAGGTTGCATAAATATTTTTCAATAACAAACAAGTCAATTCGCAAAAAAAGTTCTAAACGGTTTCATGTTTTTGCTGCATTTGTGTGCTTCATGACTTTGCCGAAAATCAAGGCCTATGAAGAAATGATTTCTTAACCTAAGAGCAGCAGATCTGGAGAATCTAAAAATATCACCATATAGTACGAGAGTTGCTCTATTCATGCCATACTTAATCCTTTCCAAAACTTTGAAATGAAGTTTTCAAAAATTAGCCAATTTGAGCAAAAATAAAAATGACTATGAAGAATTCAAGCAATATCAAAAAAAGCTTACAGGCTTGTGGTTGAAATTTGTAACCGCAAGAAAGAGAGCGAAAATGCATCGAATGCATAGTGGAACTCATTCGGGTCTCTGTGCGCGGTTTTATAGTGGTCTGAAAAAACCGACAAAACTTTTGGAACAAGCTAATATGTTGTCTCTTTGTTCTGGTGCAAGAAACAGGTCAGGGAAGTGAGAGAACTCAAACAAAAACTTCGCAGGATTGATTGAACGGTTGTAAATCTGATTGATTTCTTCAATTGACTTAAGCAGCTTGAACTGGCATAAATGAGAAGTTATTGACTACAAATACCTCAAGTGCTTGAAAATATTGCTTTCATAGAATTTTCCGGTTTTTGCTCTTCTCTCTCCTCCTCTGGAGTTGTGCAGTAGGAGATCATGGTATAGTCGTCCTCCCCTCACTAGACACCCAGTGGACGAATTTGAATTTGAGCTAGATTACGCCGGTTGCGGCAAAGCGCGGCACTTGCAGCCATTACTTCATCAAAAGAATTTTGTGTTTTTCCGACGTTTCATTCTATTTTTCAGATGTTGACCGTTTTTCGATTGAGATGGAAGATTTTGTTGCTTTTGAACGACGTGCTATGCTCGCTTCTGCAACTCTGATTTTAGGTTAAGCTTGAAGAAGCGACTAATTTTGTAAACTGTGATAGTGAAGTCTTTTTCGGTGTGTAACATGTTTTGAAGTGTTTCTTCATCGGACTTCATGTCAGACTTCAGAAATCCCCTTTGCATCGTTTTTCCAACCCTACCTGAAGATAGAGCTAAAAAAACGAGTAAAGAGGTTAAAAACACCTTTAACACATTCACGACAATACGACCCACCGGTGGGTCGTACGTGTTCTGCCATTTCGGACAATACGACCCACCGGTGGGTCGTATGCTTTCTGAAGTTTTTGATTTTGCTAGTTCACGGTGAAACCTTTTAGACAAGCCGAGTAAACTCCTGCATACACCTCTTAGAGTACTTCCCAAAAGATTAACACTTCAGACCACAGGGCCCATCAGTGACCTAAAAATATTCCGCAAACTCAATTTTGCGAAATATGCTCTGGTCCGAAATGGCAGTCAGCGAAAAATCGGCCCTGTCGTGAATGTGTTAAAAGCAGCGTCATAATTCATCATGTATCAGCACACAAACACCGCCTCCTCTTCTTCCTAAACGATCTTTTTCAACACAGTATACGGTAACTCGGCGATAATTTCGTTATCACAAATCTTTGGTGTAAGCCACGTCTCGGTGACGAAAACCAAAAGGAGTTTCTTCGTTGAGAGCAATTGATGGAATTCAAGTAATTTATTCGAAAGACTCTTAATATTGAAAAATAAACAAGAAAATCCTTTGTCCTTGCAAGTAATTCAGTTTTTTGCACGCGACCTTATATTAGGAATGTCAGCTGCTTTTACAAGCTCATTCCTAAAAATCACGTATACCTTCTCACCGTTGTACTGCCGCGAGTTGATTTCATGTGCCTTCCTCCTGAGCTCTTGATCTCGCGATCGTTCATCCGAGTCATCGATTTTCTAATAAAAATATTTTCAAAGCCCGGAAGAGAACGAAGCCTTGGAGCCTGGCGCAAGGCTTGCCAGAGAAAGCGCTCGGAAGATAAGACGCATATAATCAACCTTGTTATCCCTTCAGTGGAAGCCCCCATCCGGTATACTTCGACAGGGCGCGCTTTCACTTGAAGGGCGTCCAAGATTTTCGTGACAGCATTTTCGGTAGATACTGCCCTTCGGAGGCTCAAGCTTAGGGTCGCTCTTGCATCAGATTATGGTGTGTTCGGTTGCTTGATGTTGAATTTCGTAAAAACATGCTAGTATAGGGAGCAATTTACGCGAAAAACAGTGGAGACTATATCAGCATCGAGCACTATCAGTCTGATGTATGCGTTCTTCTATAAACCTGTCTTCTGTAACTATAAACAACTTGCTCTCACTGGGTTGAGGGTGTCGAGAGATCACAACGAGCGCATTCACAAAGCGGTATGTTTCTTGGATTGTCATTTGTGGACTTTCATGAAATTACCTGTTTAGAATATCACCGGAAATCGTGCTGCAGAACAAAATATCCGAAACGATCATTGACGCAATAGTTGTTTCGTCCATCATCAACAAGTTTACCTCAACTCCCATTCAGCTTTACGGTTAGCTAGCTGATTAATTGATCTTTTGGGAAACGTGCAAGTTTTTTTTTTCAATCACAATGTAGAAATCTATGACATTGTTTTGTTCAGGGACGCAAATCCCCAGAAGTACTCTCTTGTGTTCAGTGATTCAAAATTTCCCGTCGATGTCATGGCGTGCAAGAACGCGTAATTATAAGAATAATTATAACTATACGCGTAAGAACGTAACACTAAACCAGAATCCGCATGCCAAAATGGCATGCGGAGATATATTGGTACTTAATTGTACACATAACTCATTTGTTATAAAATTTATCAACCACATATTTCAATTATAAAACTAGCTTCCCTGGGCAAAATCAAAAGAAAAAGAAAAATCAGAAGTCAACAATAAATCAAAATTATTGGCAAATAAGTAACCAACGTAATATCTAGTGCATCTTCTGGATCCATTTCAATGCTTAGACATCTTCGTACTAGGTCCTTCAGCAGGATTGCTTGCTTGACGTTTTTTGTTACGATTGAGGTCCGAGTTGTTATGTTTTTTCTCTTCTTCAGCGATAGCCTCCACGGGTATAGAATATTTGGCCGAAGCATCCTCCAAGGTAAAATACTAAATACATTACTATTATTCAGTTCAATACTAACCATATAACTCACCTGCTTATCTATTCGGAGTCTAAGCGTGCGTTTATCCACCAAGACAAACATGACATTGTATTTCGGATCGGCACGTTTTTTTTCTCGATCATTTGAGCAACGATAAGGCGCTTAAGCGCACACGCAGTTTCGTAATCCTGGCGCTCCTTGGGTGTGAGCACCCTGCCCACAGTCACCCAGGAATCTAAACAACAAAAAATTTTAATAAGTATGTACACAAATATAGTAATAGCGTTACGAATATTCACAGGTTCGTGTTAACAACTTTTGAGTTTGCATTTAGCTATCTTATAATAAGTTATTACCAACATTATTGCCGATTCAGCAGATTCACAGCTAAGTAGAAGATGTAAGTACATATTGGAATTTTAGTAGATAGGTTGTTTTGACTCAAGCCACTAATGCAAGAAATTTACTCTTGTAGTGAGGTTTGGAACAAGTTATACAACCATACCACAGGCTTCGGCAAGCTAGTTAAATTGTTCAGCACAATCTTCGAAGTACAGGTGAAGCACATTAATAAAGACATATGATGCGCCCTCATTTATAGTTAGTAATGGTATTGGCGTTATCCCATACTCTTCTCAATCAGTCGGTGTTATGGGAACAAAGGTGCATAGAGTCTCTCTGATGTTACGTGACTTTACACCAGGGTGCATTACATATGACACTTCCCATGAATCTCACCGCAAACCAACAGATTTCTTGACTCAGCCCAAATGATGACTTTGTACAATGCACAATTGTTCCCATATGACAACAGTAATCAAAATTAGAGCTAGAAATGGCATTAGCCTAGAATAAAAGGCGTCCTTCGGGGAGTTTTGTACAGTTGCATACTATATACACATGGAAATTTACGAACATTTCTAACCTTCTACATTTTCTTATGCCATATGTATTCCTTTTGACTAAATTCGGCGCTCATGTTATCATAGAGATTCCAACAGGCCATACGTACATATTATCTTTAGGGCCGGGCATACATCACGCGATTTCATCGTTGCGATTTCCGGTCGTCGCGACTTGATGAAGGTGGCGATGAAATCGCTGCGACTAAGTCGCTAACTACTCGGCCATGGGCATACTTTCTCGGCGATTCGTGCATCCTCACAAATGAGCACATAATACACGTCTCAAGATACTTACAAGTATTACTGAATTGTCGCAGTTGTCGATGTATTGTATGTAATTGTATGATTATGTTGATGTATTGTATTGTTATTGTCACAACTTCAGCTGATGTACCAGCCCTGGCTAGCACGTTAAGGTTGACCAAGGAAATCAGAGAGCAAAAGGCTGCACTCCAGGTGTTTATATGATTTGCGATTATATGATTTTGGCTAGTTCGGCAACACCATTTTCTGTTATAATAGTTTTGAAAGTGGTAATTGTATTTGAGATAGCCTCTTTTGAGAGAAACTTCAGAAACCTGAAGTTTCTGGTGTTGTTGGTGTTGCAATTTCGCTGTGTTTGTGGTATGAAGAACAATCAGAGTCGACGGAGTCGATGTTTAGTGGAAAGAGGCACGCTCGAAGTCGTCATGAGACTACTATTTAAGAAAGAAGGTATTTCACTAATACAGAATTTTCGCTTTGTTCAATCTAACAATAAGATTGCGTCTTTTTCTGGTTTACTTAGTCTATGAGGTGGACCTGGCGTAAAAGGACTTCAGTTCAAAATGTTAAGTTCAAGTTCCTATCTTAGGGGCTTTTTGATCATTTGAAAAAGTCGAACCGAAATTTGTGATTTCAAAAGAGAAAGGCACCGTATTCTGTTAAAGACGTTGACGACCGAGCCCCGCGAAACTGCCACTTCGTTGCTTGCGCATTTGGCGTATGCATACGCTTGTATGCAGGGAATTATTATGTGCGAGGTTTTTTGGCGCTTATTGATAAAATATCCAGACTTTCAAAGTCAGATGTGTCTTACAAAGTCCTACCAATAATTGCGCATGTAGAGATTTTCGCATTACTTTCCCCTCCATTATCATTGTCCGTCAGAGAAATCTCTCTTCGAAAAAACCGTTATAATATTACGTGTTTTTGACTGAGTTCATCTTTGATTGATGCTGGGACAACTATACAAATTGCTCTGAACTATGCCATCGAAAAGACGGACTTGATATAAAAATTAATGGCACAGGAGTATAAGAACGTTAGATTCCAATGTAATTCTTCCAGTTCCTGCAACGCTAATCCAGACATCATGATTACTGAAGATCATGAGTCATTCAACGAAGAAATGTCATTTATGGTTGAGGAGGTGAGACCAAGCATAGCTGCCACTACCTTGAAGGAGCGATTATGCCTTCAAAGAAGTGGTAAGCGAGAAATATAGGTTATTTTAACATCGCTATAACTGTGCCCTTTGATTTAACTGACTTGGCGCATGGACGGGGCTTCTTGACCTAATGACAAGAGAACACGCGCGTGGGAGAGATACAGTCTGCGGTTCTCCCGCGGGCGTGCTCTCTGATCAATACCTAGCCTTAATAAGGTCAAGAAACCCCGCCTTCGATGCGCCAAGTCAGTTGAATTAAAAGGTATGCATCTCAAAACGTCCACCCAGACTGAGGCTAATACAACCAATATTTTATCTAAGCCAATTACTATAAAACATACAACATACATTGTTGCAGCTGCGCAACTTCAAGTTTTTAGGAGAACGAGGAAAGACAGGCTGATGCAAGTCTTTCGGAGAGGTTCATGATTTACGAATCAAGAATATACTCTCACAAAAACGTCGTTTCATTTGTAGGAATGTCACTGTTGATCGTTTTTTCTTCATTTTCACTTTTTCGTTTGTTTTTTCTTGAACTTCTTTGGTTTATTTTTCACATGTCTACAAACGGATGATAATGTGATATTTATTGCATTGCAGAGTTGTCCAATCTCAGTAGGGACTGAGCAAGTCACTGTGTTTGAATGACTGCATATTTCGAATATGATTACATACTTTAGGTCGCTCTTGGTCATTGTCTGATACCATTCCTTGCTTTTGAAAAGAAGTCTAATAAATATTTATTGAGTTATACGACATAACTACAGAGTCAATTAAAACGATAAAAGAAAACGAACAACTTCAGAAATTAGTGTAACTTTTCTTAGAGGGTACTGCCTCTGCGTGCAACATGTTTACCAAGTCTTTATCTTTGTACATGGTCAATAACAGTAATAAGAACTCTCATTTCTAAAAAGAAATCTTTTTCTAAATTTATGTTCTCATGGGGTTGCCTTTATATGAGTTCTTCGTGGCTTCCTTCTGGGAAAAGTTTAAGACGGGATTGTTTGCTGGAGTCTTGCATTGTCTTTGCAAAACAAACAACCCGCAAGCTCTCACCAAAGTTTATGCAGTACTAATCAACAATTACAAAATCAAATTAACCACAAAATATACCACAAGCTTGATATCAAACAAACTTATCTCAAAGTAACCGTCTCCATGCGCAAAAAAGTTTGCAAGTCTATCTTGCTGCACATTTGCAGTATCGGCATAAGGAACTCTCATCTACGGGAGATTTCTTCTTCTACATTCGGGCTCTCAGAGGACATCTTCTCGTTGGTTCTTCACGGCAAAGGCCTCGCGCCAAAAGGTTATGTAGCACCTAAATACGAATCACCTTCCACATGATCATCAAAGTTAGAAGAATCACACATGCTGTTACTATTAGCAGTTTCATGTGTTCGGATGTCCCATGGAGGGCGGCGGCTGAAACTCGAAAAGAGATGTTATAATTCCGAATACGTTTCCACCACACGTCGAGGAAATTGATGGCAAATGATGATTTGACAAGATAAACCTTTCAGAACTTACGAACTAAAACACTCATCAAACTGTACTTTTATCTGATTTAAGTTCACCTGATGATAAGGCCGAGTGTTTTATCCGAACCCTCCGTCGGCAAGTATGTGATATTCAACGATATCTTCGTTGCTTAGTGGGACAGGTTTTTTAGAACCTTTCAGGAACTCTTTCAGGAACCGTACAACCCTGATCTCGTAAAATGTGATAATAATTGGTCTGCATGTTTAGCCGAGTCTGAATTGTTCTCCTTTCCCCCGCAATCAATGAGGAGGATTCGGTAATTGCTGTCAACAACGATTAATAATATTATTGAAAATGTGCCTTTGTATTTAAAATACGTGCTGCCAGTATTGCCAGGGATCTGTAATATTCCCCACTTTTTAAAAGTCTGATACAATACGATTTGAGGTCCAACCATGCATTTGAAACGTTTCTATCAATAACACCGTCCTCGTGGCCTCCACGTACTATTGAATCCATCAGCGCTATGCTTCCTCATCCGGTGTCGGTTTAGGAATTGCCTTAGGGATTGCTTCTCTCAAATATCTTAAGTTGCATGAATGTACTGAGATGAGAATAAAAAGAACTTGATACGATTGCGTGGCAAACTTCGTATATGATTTCAGCTACCGTCGTTCTTCCTACTGGAACTCATGGGCGCATGCGTGTAGTGACCTTTCGTGCCCAAAATATGTGAAAATCCTTATTATTTGGGCATAATAGGCAAGACAGTTCCAACCGTAAGCATATTGTTGGCCTATGCTTCGCGTTTATTTGTTATGATGTTAAGTCGATAAGCGATTGTACCAAAGTTTTGCTGTATTATTTTCCTTCATATCTTGGCATCTCTCCAGTTTATATAAATTAGACTTTTCATAAAGTTGTGAAGTTTGGGAAGCTTTTGATGTTATAAATAAGCTTGTGAAGACAGATTATGCTAACATAAATCAGCTTCTGTTTGTGAGAATACTTCAGAGTTACATGCTGCTTAAGCTCATATGTAGGCCGTTACGAAATTGAAGAATAAAGTGTTAAAGGCACCGTCCACCCAAAGCGGGGTTGACGACTCAGATAATCGCCGGGGGCAGGCGGTCCGCAAACTCGCGCTTTTCTGCAGGCGGTCAGCAGAATTTTGGGGCGTGGCCAAACCTTCAGCGGGCGGTACTTTCGTCTTCTGCCAGCGGGCAGCAATACAAAATTTCCTGCAAGCGCTCCGCAAATAATTTCTTTCAGCGAGCGCTGGCCAAATTTTCAGCAAGCGCTCGGACTCTTTTTAGGCATTTTCGGGCGTACGTCGAGCGCAGGTAAGACTCTGTGTGGCAGAGGTGTCACCGTCGGTTTAGTTACTCAAGTTTGAGGTACTTTCTCTCAGCGGAAAGTACCTGAGGGTTGAGCGGTCCTCCACAAAGGACCGTGCGGCCCTCGAAATTTTTGCATATTCTCGCGGAAAGTCCGTGAGAATGCGGCCACTGCGCCGCAGCTAATCCATAAAGAAACCGCGATTGTTCTTCAAGCTTTCGTCTTTAATTTCGCCAACTTTCTTCCAAATTTCTGCAAGCGGGCCGCAAAAAATCAACGAACTATTTTTCCGGTGCCCGCCTGCCCATAAATCGCATCGCCGCTTGCCCCCGGCGATTATCTGAGGAGGTTATGATGGCATACTAGCGTAGGTTCAACCCTTACAACTCTCGTCAATCTCAACCAAATGATGAGAATATGTTTCGATGACATCTATAGCACTTGCATCATGTGTACAGAGACTTTTGCTGAAAAATTCAATCTTAAGTCGAAATCGGAATAACATAAACACTGCAACTGCATACCGCACAAGGCGACGCTCCTTCTTTCGATATTTTTTTCGTTATCAATAAAAATTACTGCTCGAATGACTGGTATTTCTATAAGGTCAAGATCAATTTTTCTTTTATACTATCATGAAAATTCTTCACTGAATTATTAGGTTGTAAAGAAAGTTCCCGGGCACTTTTGGAAATTTCATTTCCAGACGCATTTTTTCGGCGCTCGGTTAGCCTTTACCGACTAGTTCTTTATACCGTTCAGTAGAGGGAAGCCTAAACTTTTCAAAACCGCTTTCGATTTTTATCGATGCCAAAACGTGTCTGATCTGCACATCAAAAAAGCAGACCTTTCCAACCATAAAAATTTCACAATTTTTCTTTCTGCGGCCATTTTTTTGCGCAGTTCACAGAATTTCTCCCAAATCATGGGTGATCTGATTGAGAAGTCTGCTGACTACTGACCCGCAGCTGCACTCGAGTTTGGCGATCTGCGCTCAGAAGTTACAAGCCGTCGAACTTGCAACTGACTGCATTTCTTTTCGCAGCTGGCGTCGCTTCTGCGGGGATCGCTACGCCTGGGTGATGGGTCCAAAAGAAGTGTAAGGCATTACCCCAACAAGATGCGCAGTAATCAAAGATTTGGTCAGCCCTGTGCAGAACGAGAAGACTTCAAAGCAACTTACTCGAAAAATGGTGCATTTTTGGGGGCAAAAACTGGTCGATTTTTCAAACTTTCTGGGAGAAATTTTTTTGCAGGGAGTCCTTCAAAAACATGAATGGTCCCCATAACAGCCCCGGCAGATCTCTATATAACTACAACATCTGAGCTTTCCAGCTCTCATCCTGCATGAGATAATCCTGCGCAAATAGGCCACTTTTCGCGACGACCTTTTTCCCTTCTGCGCATGCTGGTGGACCGCAGTGAGGTGGTGAGAAGCCAGCAAGGCAAATATATGTTGTGGACAAAATTGTCTTTGCAATGAAGTTTGGAGCTTTAGAAAAGAATCAATCGGTTTGAAGTTACAGCGATTTGAAAAAAAAATTTGCAAGTGCCCGGGAACTTTCTTTACAACCTAATACTAATACTATGTAATTACCATTGTATCATCAGCTGTAGAATTTGTATTATTGCTTTACTCAAAAGAGCCATTTAAAAGAACTAGTTGATAATTGTCTAATTCAGCACAGAAAAAAATCTTTCGCGGTTGCGGAGAATAATAAGAAGTATCACACCTTTTTGAGACCGCTCACAAACTTTTCCTTTATTCTTACAAACTTTTCCTTCAGTGGAACTGGCCAAAATTTAAAGTCCACGGAGGTTCCGCGGCCATCTAGGACCGCTTTCATGCACTTCGTGCATGAAAAGAGGCTTTCAGAGATCGGTGGAAGGGGCGGGGTTTCCAACGAAGGGGGCGGTGTCGACCAAAAGAATGGTCGGCCGTCAACGAACTTCAATGCATTTTGATCGAACTCAATCGAGCGAATGAGCGCGGCAATACACTATACAGTAAGGTAGATGCTATAGATGTTCATGTGAACGTCGACGGGGGCAGGGACCATGTCTAACTCAATATTGGGGTCCTATATACTATAACATATATACGATACACCCAGATCGATATCAGATAAAGGATTCTATATCAGAATCCTTACAAGTTTGTGACGTGTGAGGATAAAGCATGTTAACATGCTTTTCTTACCAGCGCCACGTGATAACACATCATGATATAAATAGCACTTTGAAGTTGGAAACTACTAGTTTTCTTCATTTAAAAGCAGTCATCAGCGATTAAGCTCGAGGTGAGCTTCGGTGCCCTCCTTTTTGTGCTTTAATAGCACCAAAAAGGATTAATTCATCAAAAAAAAAGCGTGGTGTTGGCTTTTCAGATGAAAAGATCGTTTGATACGTCTGTATATCGCTTGTCAGACATGGAAAAGCATGCCCTCGTAGACATAGTTCAACAAAATCCCACTATCTGGGATGAACAACAGCAAAGCTACAAGAATCTGCAAGCAAGAGCGGCAGCCTGGAGACATGTAGCAGATGAGATGCAGGTAGAATTTGGTAAAAATTTTGAAGGTAAGTTCAATCTACTAATCCTACGAGATTTAAAAACGTCTTTTTGAGCTGAACCTTTGCAAAAGGCTTTCAAGAATCTACGGGACGTTTATGTCCGAAAACGCCGTGAATACTCTGACGTTCTGCGCCGCAAGAGCGGCGCAGAATCTGGTATTCTCGAAAAAATAGCGGGTTGGCCTTTTTATAAGCAAATGAGCTTTCTCGACGCCGGAACCGATCAAGGGTTGGTTTACAAGATGAAAAGTTCTGCAGACAGTACAAAAATTCTTCTTCTATCTCAGCGAACGTTTTTGCAATGTCGATTTTGAAGACAATGAAATCATCGACGTTACTGAAGAGACGCAGATTGTGGAAGTTACTGAAACGGTTGGAACCACGATAAACAATGCTAATACCATAAACACGATTACGAGTCCATTTAGTCAAGCCAGTCCTCTACTGCAAACAATAGCATTAGACCACTCACAGAAATCACATCTGCAAAAAAGTCAGGAAGAAAACAGAATAAAGGAAAAGATTGTGAGTTGTCTCCAAAAGGTGTGATACCTTTTATGAATTATTTTAGCTCTTGATAAACTTGGCACAGTGCTCAAAAGTCTGGAGCCGCCAGACAGATTTGAATCGTTCGGTTCGTTTCGCTTGTATGCTAATACTGAGAAGTTACTAATACGAACTTAGGTCAACTGCTGTCGAGTACACTTCGTGAACTCAACTCGCTAGACGCTACGAAAGCTGATGCGTTTGCCTTGAAGGTTATTGAACTTCAGAATCAAATTTGTCAGGCGATACAAGAGATCAGAATGGCGGGAGATAATTAGCTTTTCTCAGTCGTTTTCGCTCCAAACGCGTCCGTTCCACGAGATACTATAAATGCATAGTATTTACAGTTGTTTGTTTTGTTATCTGTATGTTGTTCTGTTTCTTTTACAACACGATGAATTATGCTATCATATATCAGCATAAATTTTGTGAATCAAAATTTTGGTAATTCTGACACGGATTTCCTGTTATGTTGTATACTAAATGAAACCTCTTCTAATAGAAAAGATATTTTTCATCCTAGACCAGATTTATTATCGACGAAATTTCAGGATGGCCCCGTTGCGAAAAACAATTTTGCAGATTATACAGCTGATATTATCGCTGGTGAGTAGTAATATTTAGATTGAAGTTTTTTTCAAAATCAATAAAAAGAAAGACTCTTTTAATTTCATCAATGTTAAGGAAATCCCGGTAGATGAAGCAGTCATTTCTCTGTTGATAGTGAAAAAACTAACGAAAGGAAAAGTATGTCCATTATGCCGGTACGCTATATGAAGTGTTTATGGAAGATATCACCTCACTCTTAGTAGTAATCCTAAGAGGCACGCTTTCGGATCCTCTGATTGCTAATATGCGGTCACAAAAAATCTCGTTCTCATTATATTCTGAGATTGTATTTTTCAGCGGAAGCCTGTGTCTACATGTGCTTGAGAATGTAATGGATTTCATCAAATCGGTTTCGTTTCGGACATCTCGAGAAATATATATGAATATCAGCCACCTTAGTCAAATTAGTACCAGATTTTCCGTCTTTGACGCCTACTACCATGGTCAAGATGAATCCATGTTTCATGAATACACAAGGCTGACACATACCGAGTTTGATACTCTATACAATCGTCTCTATAGAAGACTAAATCATGCTAGAAAACATCGATACCCGATAAATGCGAAGCATAGGCTAGCAATATGCCTACGGTTAGAACTGTTTTGTCTTTTATTATACGCAAACAATAACGATTTTGAGATACCTTGGGCATGGAAGGTCGTTACACGCATGCGCCCATGAGTTTCAACTAGGAAGGACGACAGTGGCAAAAATCATATACGAAGTATGCCATGCAATTATGTCAGGTACTTCTTTTGTCACCTACTCAATACATTCATGCATCTTGAGAATTTTAGAATTTTCGAAAGAGGCATTCCCTAAACCGACGCGGGAAGATTGGAAGCGTAGCGCTGATGGATTCAATACTATGTGGGGGTACCCACGAGGAGTCGCTTCCATAGATGGAAAACATTTTAGATGCGTGGTATGACCTCGAATTGTATTCTATTGAACTTTTAAAAAGTCCAGAATGTTGAAGGCCCCTAACAATACCGGCAGCACATACTATAATTTCAAAGGCACATTTTCAATAGTATTATTGATAGTTGTTGACAGCAATTACCGGATCCTCTTGATAGATTGCGGTGGCAAGGGGAAGAATTCTGATTCAGGTGAACATGCAAAACAGTTATCAAGATATTTTGCTATGTTCAGGGCTGTACAGAACATCTCCTTTGAGAACGTTCCTTGAACGTTCAAAAAAATTCTTTCCACCACCCGCCCCACTAGGCAATGAAGGAATCGTCGAGTATCACATACTCGCCGACGGGGGGTTCGGGCAAAACAGTTATACGATACGGCCATACCATCAGTCAGAAGCACTTAGGAGTCAGATAAAAGCACATTTCAATGAGTGCTTTAGTTCGTAAGTTGTGCACGATTCATCTCGTTGAATCATTATTTGGCCTCAATTTTAGCGCTCGACGAGTTGTGGAGAACGTATTCGGTATTATAACATCTCGTTTTAGAGTCTTTTAAGCCCCCCTTCATGGCACACCTGAGCATATGAAGCTGCTAATATCAACAGCATGTGTAAGCCTTTTAACTTTGATGATAATGTGAAAGATATGCTATTTAGGTGCTGCATAATCTGCTGGCACGAGGCCTTACCCGTGAAGAACTAACAAGAAGATACCCCCCGGACAGCCCGAATGAAGAAGAAGAATCCTCTCCCAGAGTCAGAGCTCCATATGCCGATACACCCCATGTACAGCGGGATAGACTCGCAAACTTCTTTGCACATAGGGACGGTTACTGTTGAGATAAATTTGTGATATCTAGTTTGTGGTTTATTTTATGACTAATGTGATTTCGTAATTGTTGATTGTTCAGTTCCGCATAAACCTTAGCGAGAATTTCCGTTTGTTTGTTTGCAAAAGAAAATACAAGACTTCGGCAAACAATTGCCGTCTGAAAGTTTTCCTAGTAGAAGTAGAAGTAGAAGCATTAACGCAAAATGTAACAGGCATAGGCGTACAAAAATCAAGTTATCTAGTCATTGAAATTGAAACAAAAAAGGAATGCTCGATTACAACAGGGCTGAACAATTCAGCAGTGTTGGCATTATCAAGACTTGTAAAGGAAATGAATGAAAAAAAATGCACAAATGAAAGTGACAAAATGTAAAAGAAAAGGGGACGTCAGTAAGACGGATACCTGTTGCTCCTGTGCTCAAAAAGCATGCAACAGCTTATGCGACAAAAAGAAGTTGTGTGCAAGGCTATACTTGAGACGAATTGTCCTAACCCCCGTCGTAACAGGTCGAGGAAGCGAATTGTATAGCAGCGTCCCTGAAAGTGCAGACGATTTCGCTGCTTAACGCTGTGTAAACTACGCTTTAGCTAAAGGAGAATTTCTTTAGTAATAACTTACTTATGAAAAGTCTCATGTATTTTCTTGGTAACATCTTTCGGCTGCAAAGTCCAAATGACATTCAGACCATTCCTCTTTCCGTTGAGAAGAATTGGAGCAGCAACGAAATAAGAATATTGTCGATAACCTGCAGCGGTTCACTTCGATAGATACTCTGACATTCGATGCGTGCGGCGCTTTGCGGTGGGCGTAGGCCGAATGGTAAATGCGCGGGGGCCGCACTTTGTCGAAAGCGGTCTTTTATAAAGCTTCTTCTTCTTTCGTCGTGCCATGGGCATTCTTAACTTCAAAGTCCAAAAAAATCCCGAATTTTGAAAATTCGAAAATTTGGATCTGAATTCATAGTATTCAAAAATTCAAATTTAGCATCCATTCGTTATCGAGGGATAACCTGTAAAAGAAGAAAACCTCTCATGTTCCTGCGATTACTCAAATGCCAAGAAATGATAAGCCAGCTCCACTAGTGATGGAGCAGCCTAATCACAGCGTCGTACCTCACACGAGTACCCATTACGCTCATAGCGTGTGAGAATTGGAGGCGCGCGGGTGGCACGGTGAGAATATAGTCCGCGCGGGCCATACGCTAAGGATTCAAGGCGCGAGGGCCGCACTGCTGGGGCCATTAGCAAGCGCGCGCCGCACGCACCGAATGTCAGAGTAACTACCCAAGTAAAAATAATGTTGAACTAAGACAAACTAACTTCTTTTACTCTATCAGCTTGACAAAATTCAGCTGCATCTCCTGGTTTTATGTGAATTTCGACGCGAATACCGGTTAGTAAAACAAGTGGCTCATCAGCGAGTACATACGAGGTTCCCGTGAAATAACTGTTCTGAAAAAAAAAACTGGAAATACGACGATTTGATTAGTAAATGAAAAAATATAAGTAATCACTCACAGGTTCATTTTAGTCCTTCCATCCGGCTGACCCACTATCCTACTCGTCACAACGAGCGAAACGGACACCATGAACGCAAAGTCCCACTACAAACTGGTCAATTATGGCTCCAGCAAACTCAACTCCAGCAACTCCAACTCACTCAGCCTTAGGTGTAGCAAAGAGTCCGGAACCGTTTGAGAGGAACTTTCGGCGAAATTTGACAAAAACGTGACTTCTCTTTTCTGATATGATTCAACAAATCATTAGCGCTACATCATCAACATTTACAAAAATACCTACTTCATTCTCATTTCCACCGTGTGCTTCTTCTCCTTTCATGGCATCGAATATCATAATAAGCAAATGGTTAATAGTATCCGGGTCAGCCAGCAAATCCAAGCGTGGTAAAAGCAATGCGTTTACAACAAGTTCACGCAGGAAATGTCTGACAGATTGTGACGGCCATGCCGACTGCAAAAGCTTATCTAATAGGACAATACCACATTTCAACTACTTTAAACACCGGCAGTCTTTATAGACAGATTACAAAAATGGCTGTACAAGTACTAACTCACCATGTTAGCTTTCTCGCCAAAATTCGACGGACATTCGTCGTCATGTGCTCTTCCAGCAAGATGAGTATCATCTACCAGCTTGGTAACAAGAAAATCAGCGACCTACAAAAAGTAACAGATAAAGATGCTAAGCAGTGGGAGCCTTTCGATTCAAGATCATGAGAGAATTTCACATCTTCAGATCAAATTCTAAAATTTTTATTTTCATAGTCGTTTGTGAGTGAAATCTCACAAATGTGAATACCATATCTTTTGTAATTATTACTAACAATATTTACAGGTGCGGAAATCAAAACGCACAAAAAGGATGGCTTTTAGAAATCTTAATAAATACAGAACTAGGAAAACTGCTCTTTGAGTTAAGACCATGAGTCGTAGATGAGAAAGGTTCTCGGAGTACTTTCCAGTAGATCCTTCCTTACCACTATTACGAATTTCCAAGATATGATATATAGAAATAAGTTAGAGCCAAAGCTCACCTGTCTCAAGTAGTCCAGTTCATTTTGCCTGCTACCTAGACAAAAATGCAGATCAGAGAGACTTTCACATATAGCTGATTCCATTGGAGAACGTGGAAAAGCCTAGAAAGATGCAACAGATCTCAAATCATCAAAAACGTTTGCAGCTATACCTTATCCGCAAATTGATCTTCGAATTTCATAATTCTGTGCATGTGAAGAGACGCGATCGGAACTACATCTTCTGCGATGATGGTTGGCAGATCTAGCTGCAATCCTATCGTTGCGAGTTGAGAGCAAGCAAACCGTATTTGGTACCTAAAAATGAGTGTAAAAGATTCGCACTTTGAGTCGTCTACAGACCTAAAAATGACTGTAAAAGATTCGCACTTTGACTCGTCTACAGCAAATCGGAGAAAGGATCATACGGATTGACAAAAAATGTGGGTGTAGCTGCAAAAAGCAAGTGTAGCTGCAAAAATGTTCTAGAGAAAATCCAAAAATTTTCAAAAGGGGGCGCTGTCAGGGTCACGCAAAGGGGTTTTTTGAAGAGCCTTGAAAGCATTCGAAAAAATATGTAGAGCTATTTTTGCAAGATTTTGAGTATACTCCATCTGAGAAAAATTCACACATAACCTTTGTATATTCATGTAGACAAATGATAAAAGCTTCAAAACACGAACAGCATGCTCAGAAGAAAAGACACACCTAATTTCGTTGAGGAAGTCGCGGTCCCTGCTAATGCCAGACTCATACCAGTTGTTCACATAAGTGTCAATGAGTTGATCCAGCAAACTTTCCGCGGCATCGTTTACACATACTGGAACTTTGAGCTCTGAAAATGATGCATCAGAGAGGGCTATATGAGGGCTGAAAAAATGGCTGCTAAGCTGAGTGGGTGGTAACCTGATACAACGAGAGACTTAAATCGCTAGCAACACGACATCATGAAACTCAAAATTAGAAATGACGACCGCTTTCGGTCCAATGAATGCACTCGGCGCAAAGTTTGGCGTCACCTGAGACCAATCGATTGTTATTTTCGCTGAGGCTAATATTGATTGCAGTGTCACAGACTTGTCACATCCTGTCGCAGGCGTTGAGAGATACTGCCATGCGATGACGGTCATTACCGACTATTACAAGCGATTCAAAGCAGGAGGAACAAGTTTTTTTTGGAAGAAGTTTATTCATAACAAACACTAAATCTGAAACTCTTCATATTTGAAATAGATTTTAACTTCATCATATTGAACGAATAGGACGAACATAGTAAACAAATACGAAATCATCGAATCACGAAGAAGCAAAGCACTCTGGCAATTTTGGACTGGTTTCCAAAGTTCTGATCAAGAAAACAGCCTAAAAACGAAAGAAACGATTATAAAATCTTTCAAAAAAGAAGTCAAATCTCAGCGATTTAGTCGCGTCGCTCGTTTTAGCTGAGCGACGCGACATCGCTGAGATTTGGGCAAATCGCGACGATTTCATTGAAGAAAGTATGCCCGGGGAAAAAACGGTCAGCGACTAGTCGCGCCGGAAAACTATCACAACCGAATGGCAGAATGATCAGCATGCAATGGACTTGTAGCAGTTATCTTGTTGAAAAATTTCCGAGGCGACGGAATCGCGTGATGTATGCCCGGCCCTTTTCTTAGAGAGTTCGATAGCACACGAAATCTCATAGAAATGGAACATGAACGGTTTTCGACAATTATTCGACAATTTATTGATCATTTGGTCAATAATGCTTGCAACATTCCTTGCAAGAGTTACTATCCATCAAATAGTTGCGAGTTTTGATCATTAGTCTCGTTTGAGTACAAAGGATGAATCAATTAAAGATTTCTGTAATTGCGAAAATATATACACATGCTACTTTACGACTGTTTCAACTTCAACGCTCTCTTTCTTCTAATCATATCCCTTCCCATATGCATTAACATCATTCTGAATTGCATATATCGCAGTAGCCTTTATCTATATAACACGGCAGTGTAATGATCGACTAGAATGAAACATTGTAAGCTATGGTTTTCACTCATGACTTTGAGTTTGCGCCAATACCAAAAGTTATAATACTCATGAAGAAAAGCGCATTCACTATAGCCTAGCATTCATGGTGTGAACATGGTAATTAGTAGCTATCACAACAAACATTCAGTAAAATATTGTATCATCATATACAGGATTTAGGCGTACAACGTAATTACGCAATTGCGTAAGTTGCATGCAGTTTTTCATACTAGGCCTAAATTTATTCTTTCTTTCTGTCATTTTCCCATTACGGTAAAAGGTTTTAAAGATGCCTGTCATTACGTAGCTTTTGCATACTCTTTTAGGTATAAGAATTTTGGAAAGTTAAATAATTCCTAACCTCTACATTGTCTTGTGATAAAGATCAATAGGTTACTAGTATGTCATAACATCGTCACGTACATATGTACGTATGGCTTTACATGCTATGTTTCATACGACTGGTTTAAACTCTGAACTTCGTCTGAACTTTGACATCCTATTATGTACCTTGTCATTGCAGAGTAATACAAAAGCACATGTGGACCTATAGCGAAAAAAAAATAAATGAAGAGAAGGGAAGGAGAAAAATAAAGGAGCGATTGCATAGTAGGTTCCTTACAACTTAATTTTCAATATGTCATTATTGATGGCTTGTTGACTTGGAATACTCCTACGGCCTTTTCTCCATACCTATATTAGTTTCGGAAGCTGCTATGTTTATTAGATCGCTTTATATATTATTATTACATATATTATATATATTATATATATCATATATATATTATATTAGGTTGTCGTTGTCCCGAAAGTTTTGTCCGTTTTTTCAACCTATCATAAAAATACGTGGAACAAAGATAGGGAAACGCTTCAAGCACTACTCGACGCATCTTTTCCTCCTCTTTCTAAATGTCAAGCCCATATGCCGATTACTCACTTGCTCACGGAGATCACGCCGAAATTTCAAACCCATGGTTTTTACTATGTCCAAGTTTGACAATTTTTCACAATCTTCATTTTCAACTTTCGGAAGAGCTTTGATAGCCCTCAGATAGAGTAAGCAAAGGGCAATGCAATGCAATTATTTGGCATATCTAGCTGGCTTTTCAATTTTAGAGATAATTTTTTCAAAAGTCTTCACTTTTGCGAAGTTCTAAAATACAGAAACGCCTCGAACACTAACAAATCATCTGATTTTGAAGCTTTCAAAAACCGATTACGATTATTCACTATTTTTACGAAGCAAATGAGCGTTTACTGCTTCGAAATATAAGATTTTGCATTTTAGGTGTGCACGCTGGGGTGGGGTCAAATTTGAGAATTATGAGAATTTTATCGCCAAAGACCCAGCAAATTCGAGGGAAAATACACTCGCTGGAAAAGAGGATAAAAAGCTGCATCGAATAACATCTTGGTTGTGCGCCGTTTCATGATCTCTGGCTTTTGGCATCACCAAAAGTGGAATTTGATAGCATCAGAAAAATAATTCTAAAAAATTTTCAAGGCTGGCTATAGATGCCGCAAAATTGCATTATATTGCCCTTTGTTTGCTCTATCTAACTATTGCCAAAGCTTTTCCGAAAGCCTAAAATAAAGACTTCGAAAAATTGCCAAACTTGGACATAGTAAAAACCATGGGTTCGAAATTTCGGCGTTTTTCTCAGTGAACAAAAGATTAATCGGCATGTAGGCATGACAGTCAGAAAGAGAAAGAAAAGATGCGTCGGATAGTGCTTAGAGCGTTTCCCTATCTTTGTTCCACGTATTTTTATGATAGGTTGAAAAAACGGACAAAACTTTCGGGATAACCTAATATTATATTATATCATATTATATTATATTATATTATATTATATTATATTATATTATATTATATTATATTATATTATATTATATTATATTATATTATATTATATTATATTATATTATATTATATTATATTATATTATCATATTATATATATGATATATATATATCATATATATATTATATATTATATATATTATATATATCATTATATATTATTATTATAATACATTCTTCCGCTGAGTATCTTCACCTTTCGGTTGAAACTAACAATAAGTAATGCCTTATAGTGCCCATGACACAGCGTGTCAGGGCTTACTTTTTCGTAGTCATCATCTACTTACTACTACATTTCGCTACTTTGGTTAATTTTAACGAACCTCTGGAGACCTTTTGATTGTAGGCCACAATCTTGCGTTGAAACTCTGCGCTCATCAAAAAATCGTAATGACGTTGCGGCACGAAAAACTGTAAAAGGGTTTCCAAAAAGAAGTACATTGGTTAGTCAAAGTAATAAACGCACTGCCATATTACACGATCCGTTTTTGTTCACATATAGTATATCAGCGGCAATAAGGTCCCTCTCAGAATCAAATAGTGGTTTTGAGTAGCCAATTTTCTCAAATAACAGTTGCAGGGACTGGCTTTTGGATTGTCCGAAAGGAAGAGGAAGATTAATGACCTCAAACATTTCCACATTGTTATAAGCATGTAATAGTTTGAAAACTTACCAATAGCCAGTTGGTTCTGGTCATTTTTCTTACTAATTCCAACTCCTTAGCGGAGTTCTCCTGCTGGGTTTTTATTTGATCAACTGCGGAACCCAAGGATACGAGAGCTGTGGTTAAATCCGTACTTAGGTTATGATCACCATCCAATATAGAGCGCATAGTGGCGGCCAAGTCGATAGGGGACATGATTAATTAACTCCAGTTACGACAAAATAGTTTATATATAGTTTTAAAGCTAGTTTTACGCGCGCAAACCATGGCTAATAATTTTGTGCGGGAGATCCAGGGTTCCCGCCTTAACCGATGGAAGATCAACTTATCACAAGTAATTACAAGTAATAAAATCTCTTATAATGCATACCAGTTTCATTTATGATCCTTTGAAGAATTTTGCAGTACTTCAGCGTGTCATAGTATGTTTCAACGCATAAAATTTACATGATCGATAACGTTGTACACCCTCTATGCATTAAGAGCTAGAGGAGGCATAATACCTGTAGTGTTACAACGGTATCAATAGTCTATAAGTTTGGAGTCATCCTTGATAAACCTCTAAATTTGACATTTGATTACAATTTCTACTTCATACGGTAAAGTAGTGCAGTGAACACAAGTCTCAATTTGGCATGTTTTGCTCATATAAGTTGTCCACCCTCTATGCATTAAGAGCTAGAGGGGCATAAGGCCTGTAGTGGTACAACTAAAATTGGCGCTATTCGGCTATCCGGGCCCCAAAAAAGCATGGATTTCGCTCAAACTTGGCCCAGAGGGGTTATCTGACATGCTGATAACGAATATCACCTTTTCTCCGCAGGAAAATGCCTCCCTGTGGGTTACGGTAGGTATACGGTAGGGGGTCAAAATCACAGATTTGCCCGAAACTTCGTGTAGAGGGGTTATTTGGCATGCTGAACACGAGTATGATGTTTATCTCGTGCGGCAGCGCCATCCGGTGGAGTTACGATAGGACTACGGTAGAGGGTCAAAATCACGGTTTTGCACGAAACTTGTCATAGAGGGGTTATTCGGCCCGCTGATGCCAAATATCACATTGGTTTTGAACCATAGCGTCATTTTCTCGGGTTACGGTAGCTACACGGTAACGGATGTAAAGCATAGTTTTGTAACGGGTGTACGACGATTCGGACGATTGTGAAGCTTTGCACACACGACCACCGCCGCGCGCTACACACCTGCTGCGGCTCTTGCCTAAGCAAAGCACAGGAGGAGATACATTTGCCGATTTGTGATTTTGACCCCTGCCGTAAACCTACCGCAACCATGCAGGGGGGCGTTCTCGTGTGGAGAAAGTGTGACATTCGTGATCAGCATGTCAGATAACCCCTCTGTGCGAAGTTATAGCGGATTTTGAGATTTTGACCCCTTACCGTATACCCACCGTAACCCGAGAAAATGACGCTACGGTACAAAACCATTGTGATATTGGCGTCAGCGGGCCGAATAACCCCCTGGGCCAAGTTTCAGCTGAATCTACGATTTTGACCCCCCTACCGTTTACCTACCGTAACTTCACAGGAAGGCGGTTTCCTGCGGAGGAAAATGTGATATTCGTGATCAGCATGTGAGATAACCCCCCTGGACCAAGTTTGAGCGAAATCCATGACCAAAAAATTTTGGGGCCCGGATAGCCGAATAGCGCCCTAAAATTATATTATCAGCATTAGAGATTGGTGTTCATATGCAAATATGTTCTTCAACGCATCAAGATCAATATTAACTTTCATTTACTAGTTCTTTCCTATATTTATCTGATATGCTAAACATTACTTGTATAACTGATTTTGGAAAGTGCTCAATCATTAAATGTCGTCCACACCTTATACACCTTATGCATTAAGAACTAGAGGAAGCATAGGACCTATAGTGGTACGACCGCATCACCGTGTCTTGGCGATAATTTTAGGGATGTATACCCTCTTTGTCTTGAAAGCATAATTCTTGTAGAATACTAGTGCTATTAATATTAAACAGTCTGAAAGTTTGTAGTTCACATTTATTTATAACAAACTTAGAACATTATTTCATATTAGTAGACAGGGTAGTGATGTAACACATGTCTCAATTTTGTTTTGCTCATACAAGTTGTCCACCCTCTATGCATTAAGAGCTAGAGGGGCATAAGGCCTGTAGTGGTGCAACAAAATCATATTATCAACATTGAAGATATGTGTGAGTAACGTATATCCTTCATGGATTGTAGTACCAAGATTCACTACCAATGTTTGCGACCTTTTTCTTGTATTTAATTTCAACGGTTAAAATTTGCATCATCTGCACGGTTAATTTTGAATTTATTTTGATCAACAAATATTACCCACCCTCTATGCGTTAAGAGCTAGAGGAGGCATAAGGCCTGTAGTGGCGCAACTATAAAACTGCGACAAATGGCAATATTTAGAGGTACCAATCCAAACATAGTTGCAAACCTTCGTGCGAAATAAAAACTGATTCACAAATATACATGTCTTACTAGCATAAGACTGTAAGTTATAACTTGACACTACACATTCGTGAATTAGCGATAATACGCAGATATGTATACACCCTCTATACAGGTATGGACGAGAGGAAGGGGGGGGGTGGTAGGTAAACAGCTAGATTGTCGTACATGGACATGGGTACAAGAGGGGGGCTTGTGTTCATCATACAAAGTGGGCCGCGGGCCAGGTATATGTAGGTTTACGTAGAGTAGCATCATGGTAGAGGCGCTGGCTTTCTACTACCCCAACCAGAGGCTATGATATAGGAAGGATTGTAGTAAGTATGTATAGTATGTATAGTCTGACTGTAAGTACAGTAGACAGTCTTCTGACAGTACATGACAGTACAGACAGTCTGTCTGTACAGACAGACAGACAGTATGTACAGTATGTCTGTCATGACTGATATGAGTACAGTACAGTACTATAGACTGACATGACAGTACTGTCAGTCTGACAGTACTGACAGTAAGTCATGACAGTAGTATAGTAATGTACTGATATGTCAGTACTGTATGACTGATCAGTACAGACTTACAGTACATACATGACATACAGTACAGTATGACAGTACAGTCTGTCATAGTCATACTGTCAGAGACAGTACAGTACATGACAGTACAGTCAGTACAGTCTGACATGACTGTACTGATGTATACATGACAGTAGATCAGACATACAGTCAGTACAGTCTGTCTGTATGTCTGACTGTATGTCATTACAGTACATACTGTCAGTACATACATGACAGTAGCAGACAGTACATACATATCATACATACATACAGTACAGAGACATACAGACATACATACATACATCTGTCAGACATAAGTCAGTACATACAGTACATACATACATACATACATACATACAGACAGTACATACATACATATACAGACATACATACATACATACATACATACATACATACATACATACACTACATACATACATACATACATACATACATACATACATACATACATACATACATACATACATACATACATACATACATACAGACATACATACATACATACATACATACATACATACATACATACATACATACATACATACATACATACATACATACATACATACATACATACATACATACATACATACATACATACATACATACATACATACATACATACATACATACATACATACATACATACATACATACATACATACATACATACATACATACATACATACATACATACATACATACATACATACATACATACATACATACATACATACATACATACATACATACATACATACATACATACATACATACATACATACATACATACATACATACATACATACATACATACATACATACATACATACATACATACATACATACATACATACATACATACATACATACATACATACATACATACATACATACATACATACATACATACATACATACATACATACATACATACATACATACATACATACATACATACATACATACATACATACATACATACATACATACATACATACATACATACATACATACATACATACATACATACATACATACATACATACATACATACATACATACATACATACATACATACATACATACATACATACATACATACATACATACATACATACATACATACATACATACATACATACATACATACATACATACATACATACATACATACATACATACATACATACATACATACATACATACATACATACATACATACATACATACATACATACATACATACATACATACATACATACATACATACATACATACATACATACATACATACATACATACCATACATACATACATACATACATACATACATACATACATACATACATACATACATACATACATACATACATACATACATACATACATACATACATACATACATACATACATACATACATACATACATACATACATACATACATACATACATACATACATACATACATACATACATACATACATACATACATACATACATACATACATACATACATACTACATACATACATACATACATACATACATACATACATACATACATACATACATACATACATACATACATACATACATACATACATACATACATACATACATACATACATACATACATACATACATACATACAACGGCATTTTGGAGGGAAATTTAAAAATCAAAATTTGCAGAAATTCGAAAAATCAAAAATCTGTTTCTCAGCTTCTACCACATCGGGACCCTCGCCACTTCATACATACATACTACATACACAGATGCTTACATACATGCATGCATCCATACCTACACATACACCTTACATGCATTTTATACATGCAATTTTGACCGAAAACCCAAAAATCAAAAATCCGTTTCTCAGCTCCGGTCAACTCTAAGAACCGCCCACTTCATACATACATACTACACACACAGATGCATACATACATACATGCAAACATACATACACATACATCTTACATGAAATTTATACCTGCAATTTTGGCCGAAAATCCGAAATTTTGGAATTCTGTAACTTTGCTTCTGTCAACTCTAAGCCCCGCCCACTTCATACATACATACTACATACACAGATGCATACATACATACATGCATCCCCCCATACATATACATCTTACATGCAATTTATA